CAAATGAGAGATCTGTACATAAAGTTCCTCTATCACACGTAAGTTGAATCTGACGTTATTTTTTCTCGACGCTTAGAGTTGGTAACCAGAGCCCTCCAACTCATCTGCTTGCTTCAGAGCCAAGGTTTCAAATGCTGGAATTCGACCGAAGCAACGAAAACACTCCGTCAACTAGTTATCGGGGCGACGGGGCAGTAATCTCCACCTCCCCTTCAAGGGCGTCTCAACAGTCGCACGTACCTGGCGATTCTACCACTAGCACTGAATCCATGCGTTCAAAGTCACCTCGCACTCGTCTTTCGCACAACCCCGATGATTACTTGCGCATGGCGAAGTGGCGGCTTGATGACCTCAGTTTTCTTGTTGGCTCGGATATGGCTATATTCGGAACTAAGATGCATCCCTGCATTAGTTTGCGTCTAAGGTAATGGTTCTATCTAAGTTATTCTCATTTTGCATTCATTTTTCTTCATTATCTTAGCTGAAACTCACGCAAAGTGCCGAACTTTGCGAAGAATTGATACCCACCCTCAAATCGGCCATAATGCATTTAAAAACTTTGAAATAATAATGAACAACCTTATTGGAATTTGTGACTTGTAAGAAATATAAAAATACTAATTAGTTGCTAAGAAAAACCAAAATTTCTGAGGAATACTCAAGTTCCGCTGACGGGAAAAATTGCTATAAATGTAAATATAATTGTTAGGTAAAATTATATCCATAACATTTTCGTTACATCAAAATAACTTTACTTTTTTTCATTTTCTTTATACATAATTCGGGTATTGAATTACAGTTAGTTTCCGATCGTTCTTTAATTTCCAGCAAATTTTCGACGATTTTCAGTGTTTTTAGTTTTCTTCGTGAACGTAGATTCTGTTCGACGTTTATATAAAAACCTCTAAAATAAGATATTTCTTAAAAACATTCATTTAAAACGTGATTTTTGTGACCTATTTTTCATGAAGGTATCCATGAAAACCATATGTCTAAACTATGCAAAACACGAAACCGAATTGTCGAGCGAAAAGAACGTCCACAACAGAAATCCGATATTGTTATAACTAAGATTAATAAAAAAAACTTTCCCGAATTCGGGCGAACGTTCGCATCTCAGGTGTGTTTATAGGTAGAGAAGATAAAAAAGCTCTTCGATCAACGGAATCATTGTTTGATTCTTCTGAGTTTTTGAGTTCTCACTGGAGCCCATCGTCAGAGATATAAGTGTCAACGAAAAAACAAGCAACAGTTATAGGGCACAGAGTCAAATCAATCACCGGGAACGTCGGTCCTGAGGTGCCTGCACAGGGCGATTTATGCCGGCGCAAGATCGATAAATCGATTGACAGTTCTCATTCGAGACCCAGGCTTTAGTTAATCCTTGGTCTGTCGTAGTGCCGGTGTGGGTGATTATTTTCGCGGCTGCGTGATCAGTCTCGTAGATGTAGGCAGCTACTTGTGATTATGTATCACCCCCATCTTACAGCTGGCTTCTTTTCGTGTATGCGCGAACCAAGCATGCGTCCTATCGGTTTTGTGTAATTTGGAGGACAGTTTAGGCACGATATGCGATACACTACACCCGACTCCTTATTCCTGCAACAATGCACTCGGTCGCTTCTGACACGTCCTTGATGTATGGCAGTGTATGCCATATCGTATGGGCTGGTTCTGGTTGAGCCCTGAGAGGGCGGACCCATAGGCATCGGCTTACAAAGACATTCGGATGACCGTTACGCATAAACTGGTCACGGAGATATCGGGCCTCACGTGCTTGTTTCTTCCAGGTTGCTGCAGTGAGTCGATTCTTTTGAACAGTGTTCTCACGCAGCTTTGTTTGTGAGCCATTGGGTGGTTGCTGTGAAAATTAAGAAGCTGTGTGGTGTTTGTCGCTTTCCTATAGACCATTGTTTCTATTTCCCCTTTGGAAGTTCGCATGACGAGTATCTCAAGGAAGGGCAGTTGCTGATCCTTTTCCTTTCCCTCGTAAACTGTATATCTGGGAAAGTCGAGTTAAGATGCTCACAGAAATTCTGCAACATGTTCCTTTTGACGATAATAAGTGTGCCGTCGATGTAACGGCGCCAAAAGATTGAGGGCTGTTGGGTGAAACAATGTTTTCCAGCTCTTGTTGGACCGGTTCTGCTAGTAAACCACAGATTTGAAAGCCAATCGGAGTTCTATTGGCAAAATTCAAACAGAATCTTAGGGTGATTAATTTTAAGCGACCTCTGAGTTTCGTCGTACAGCTCCCCAAGTCTCCTGCGCAATACGTCTTGTGCCAATCCCAGTAGAATGGATGTAAATAATGATGTCACGTCAAAGGAGACCATGATTTCTTCCGATTGAATCATTCTGTTATGCAGGTATGCCAGGAATCGGAAGGCTGAATTGACTGAGGAACCGGAATTCTCTTGAAGAAATTTTGGTTTCGAGTACATCCATTTTTGCTGAATTATAGGTTGTAATGCCTTTTGGGGGCAACGATTGGGTGCAATGGAACATTTGGTTGACCATATAAGCGAGCCAGGGCAGTATCTGTTGATTTCATTTGGTGCTGTTCTTTCTCCATGCTCTATATAATAAAAGATTATCTTTTTTAAAAGGTACTTTAATTAGTTTTTCAGCAGACGAATATCTGTGCATGTTACCTTTTTCTCCAGGCAACGTCAAAGTGCAAATAGAGAATTCTGAGCATTTTTTAATGTTCCTAAAAATAAATGATATAATT